GTTTGGGCCAGTAAAACGAATCTCGAACAACGCAAGGGTAGAGCGGGTCGTGTTAGGCCTGGCTTCTGTTTCCATCTATGCTCAAAAGCCCGATTCAATAAGATGGACGAACACATGACACCAGAAATGTTCAGGACGCCTCTGCACGAATTGGCGTTGAGTATCAAGCTATTAAGATTAGGCAATATCGGTCAATTCTTATCGAAGGCAATTGAGCCGCCTCCCATTGATGCCGTGATTGAAGCGGAAGTTGTATTAAGAGGTATGCCTTTTATCTTTTTCTTTTCCTATAATCAATTGATTTCTAAGACTTTGTATTTTTATGCACGCAGAAATGAAGTGCTTGGATAAAAACGATGAATTAACGCCTCTTGGCAAGATTTTGGCGCGTTTACCTATAGAACCGCGGTTGGGAAAAATGATGATCCTAGGATGTATGTTTCGTGTGGGCGACGCGCTCTCGACGATGGCCGCAAATAGTACCACTTTCCCTGAGGTATACAACATGGGTCCAGATGTGAAAAGGCTGACTGCTCAGCAAAAGTGGTTTGCCGGTGCTAGATTTAGTGACCATGTCGCAATGTTTCATGCTTTTCAAGCATGGGAAGAAGCGAGAACAGGTGGCGAATGGGCAGAACAGACGTTCTGTGATTCAAAGAGCCTGAGTCTACCAACTTTACGAATTACCTGGGAAGCTAAGGTCGGTAGAATTGCGATGTGGCTAGCATATATCCTTATATACTCGTGATAATGACTTATTATTCCATATATGCAGAATCAACTACAAGCGCTATTGCAAAGCGCTGGTTTTCCCGAGGAGACTCTGTGTCCCATGCCACTAAATTATCAAGCGGGTGCGGATCCGCGTCTCGACACCATCACTGCGCTGTTGTGCATGGGTCTGTACCCCAATGTGTGCTATCATAAGGAGAAGCGGAAAGTTCTCACCACAGAATCCAAGGCTGCGCTGATTCATAAGACATCGGTGAATTGCAGCAACTTCGAACAAAACTTTCCATTCCCGTTTTTCGTGTTTGGTGAAAAGGTATTTAGACAGCACAATATCCAAAATTGAGATATAAGATATTTTATGTTTTAATTTTGGATATGCGTGCTGTGTGGATAATATGAACATTTCTTTCTCTCTCACACGCTTCGATAACTCTCCATCTTGTTTTATTAGATTCGCACGAGAGCTGTATCTTGCAAGCAAATGACTATGGTGTCGCCTATACATCTCTTACTGTTTGGGTCACGAAAAGTAGAATACGTGGATGGCGTGATTAAACTGGACAACTGGATCAACTTGGATATGGATCCGCAACATGCAGCAGCTATCGTTGCTCTGAGACCAGCTTTAGAAAGTCTTGTAGTTAGAGCATCCAAGGATCCAGAAACGATTCTAGAATTGAGTCCGACTGAAGAAAAGGTATAAATCAAACTTGAAATTTTAATTTGTACATGTATGTATATATTGTATATCAAATTAACATAAAAGATTTGTCATTCTTCTATTAAATTTTGTATTGAAACTTCTGGCCATTACTAATCTCAGATTATAATGTCGGAAACGAAAAAATACATAATAAACATTTTTGCAAAAAATATATTAAAATATAAATATTTTATGACTAGGAGTCTTCGGTAAGATCCAGAGTTCTTAAAAGATTGGAAAAATTTTTGAATAAACAAAAAATATTTTTTAATGGAATAAAATATAAAATTAATTAAATAAAAAAAAATTTTGTATTGAAACCATTAACTAGAATTTTGTTTTAATTTTGCTGCTATTTTTATATAGAACTTTATTTTACAAAAATGAGATCTTTTGTGCATTAATTTCATATCTCTTTTATTAAACTTAAAAAAAATAGTTTTCTTCTTCTGTCTCTTCTTTTCTCAATCTTTTTCCGCGATATTTGGTAAACGACAATATCTTGGATTACGTTTCAAAAACGTATATTATATCAAGTAAAATTTTCTTTGGAGAGGACGTTTTGGAATGTTCGACGCTATTGATAATTTTTTTTTTTCCTTTCAGATATTGAGCGTGATTAAGGCATTATGCAGCATGAATGCTTGTCGTCACGAATTGGAGCCGATAACCGGTGGTGGTTTTCAATCAGCGCGACCCCCCAGGGGACATGTAACTGGCTTTCGCGGCAACTTTAACACTCCTCCAAAATTGATGCGGGGAGGTGCAGGTTACCGCGGTCCAGTCTCAAATAATGAGTCTTACGGTGGGAATAGTAGCGGCTTTAATGATAACCACAGCGGTGGTTACAACAGAGGAAGTTACAACAGGGGATATACCATGGGCAATTCACGCGGTCGAGGTGGAAACTGGAATAATAATGGCAATCGCGGACGTTACTTTAATTAACATTTTATTTACGATAACTGTAATTACAGTATGCTGTTGCTTCAGAATGCAGTTCAGGATTTATAATTCTAGACATTGATCTGAAGTCTTGATATGAAAGTATCTTAGTGTATTGCCTTCTTTTTTTAACTTTGATTGACAAAGGTGATACTTTAAGTTACTGTTCAGAATTAGAAATCAGCACTATATTAGATTGAATTATTTAATTGCATGGGTGGTTCAATTTTTATCTGGAATTTTTTATTTCTCCAAGAAACGGTGGAGTGCCGAATTCCCGTCTCGTAACAATTAGGAAATTCCGTTTGGTATAGAATGGAAGCGAGACATATTGTAATTATAAAATAATAGCGGCAATATAGAATGAGTTGAATGTGTTGGCTCGAACAATGCTATCATAAAAGTTCGACTGAAAAAGAGATTAAAGCTGGATTTTCATCTGACGCTAGACGCTCATTTTCAGCGTCAAAACAGGTCACGTGATCAAAATTGATGCTTGGTATTCGTCAATTTTGATCACGTGACCTGTTTTGACGCTGAAAATGAGCGTCTAGCGTCAAATAAAAATCCAGCCTTAGCCTTCAAAAATTTTACAATGTTGCAAGTTCAACATATTTTCACTAAACACTCAAATGTATGTGTATGCAGAAGTTGATGGTTCCAATCAGGTTAAAGACATCTATCTTGCAGGCAATAGCATTTTTGTCAAAATGAAAAGTATCGTCATGTGAAGAGAAAATACTTGAAGAAAGAAACCTAAATTGAACAATACAATTTCGTCACTATTACCATAATTCTAGACAGAAGTTGAGTCCCTCATGTATCGTAGGTTTAGGTTGGATATTATATTGACATATTATATAATAGTATATATACTACAAAGATGCAACCGAATTATTGAACCGAACTTAAAGACGAGCTGCGAGTTAAACTTCATGAGCGTCACAAACATTTCCGCGATCTATACTCTAGTTTCTATTGTTTTTTTTTTAATTCTTGGCACCTATTTTTCGAAGCAAATCCTAAGAGATTAATAGTCAGTTCACGTTTTCTAGGATGTATGGAAACGTGATATTTCTTTGTAGAATCCCAAAATCTACTCGTAGTAAACACTTATATCCTCGTTTATGCGAGGAGCTTGCATTCTTCTTCTTCTTGTTATTGGCCTCGCAGCCTACGCAGGCTGATACTGGACCATTGAGGTCTACGTAAATTGAATCGAATCGTAATTGGGAGTGCGATGCACCGGCCACCTCGAACCGGGCGAGTAAAATAAAGGATGATGCAATCAAAATGGTGGGGCGCCCCTTCAAACACTGGACGTCTGCAGCTACGACGCTTCCACGCCGCACGGCCGCACGCCAAGACGGATAAAGGGACTATCGAAATTGAATACGACGGCACAGTCCAAGCCGGCAACGCTTTTCAAAAATATAGTCGAGGTGACGCAACACCCGAGACGAGAGGGAACACGTCCACCTCGGTTGAGTGGTTCTTCGGAACTTTAGGAGCTTGCATTGACTCTGTAAGCATCGCACTGAAGAAAATAAGATTGAGTTAATCGAGGAACCTTTATCCCTCGGAGGCACAGGATCTTGGTCCAAATTTCAAATTCATGAAGTTATGATCCTATATATTGGGTCGGAAGTCCAAACAGGGGAATCTCAAGAAGAAAAAGTAAACACTTGTGTAGACTTCTGTGTTAGGGCGGGTGTGAAATGAACTCTTTTCGCCCGCTACTTAGATCAGCAGTATAACAGTGATTTCAATTGTGGATGCTTCCATTTAGTGACACAAGTATCTTTCTATCTTTCTTGGTATTCAAGCATCCTGTGTATTTTACGTGGTAAAGCTTTATGTTCACAGTGCTCTAGCTCTGAAATCAGACTGAAATCTCAAATAGAGAAAGAATTAACAAATTCCATTAGAACAATTTAGTCATGTGATTATTGCGACTAATAACTTACTTTATCTAAGATTTTAGATCAATTTCTAGCATTATGGCTTCAAATATACATGTGATACTCAAGAGTTTTAGCACGAAGCTCGTCTTTAGATTTGATTCGAGGTTTGGTTCGATAAGCAGGACGCATCTAAATATTATTCTATACTAGTATAATAGTTATATATACCGTAACTGCTATGATAATATATACTATTATATAATAGTATAATGCGATGACATTGTATTGAACATGTAATACAGTATAGAATCACAGTGTAATTCGTTTTCATATAATACTTGGTTTTTTCTCTCAACTTTTATCATATGATACTCTCATCATACGAAAACATCTTTGTCTCTTCATATTTTCTGTTGTAGAGGAAGAAGGTAAAATATGTTCTGCAAGCTCTTGCAATATTCTTTAAATTATTATTGTATACGATATGGTGATAAATAAATTGCTATGAACTCATCGAACTCTTTTGTTTAGAATGCTTTCAAGTAGTATTAGATCAATAAAAAATCATTCCTGTTTTTTTTAATTCGCTCGTACATCTTCGTGGCAAAAAAAAGATTTTTAATCGATAGAGATCTCTCGCTATCAGTGCGACGGCGTGATCGGTCGGCCGATCGTGGTTGTGCCCAGTTGCGCCACGTAGATTCATATCCATTCGTGTCAGTCAATGATAAAACGCGCTATCAACCGTCTGTCCGAGCGCGATGGTTGCCGTCGAATGACGCCACGGCCACCTAACGGAAGTGAACCGAGAGTAGGCGAAGGCAACGTCGTCGCTGATCGTCGCGGACGGGGATGTCGGGCATCTATTTCCGAACACGTTGCAATCGGGGTCGAAGGGGACAGCAAATCGCTGGATGGCAAGAAACAACTAGAAGAATTCGCGGGGTATAAAGACTGGTTCCAACTAATTCTGTCCTAGTGTCCTGTCGTCGTCGTTTGACAGTTGTGCTCCAAATTTTGTGTTGATTTATTACGCGGAAAGAAAGAGAGAGAGAGACAGAGACAGTGAGTTGGCCGTTCATCGTGTCGTGCGACTGTCACGCCGAATGTTCGCGAAGGACTCGAAGAGAAGAATAGAAGGAAGAAAAAAAAGCGTAATCTCCCACGGCGGTGGTTGCGAGACGTCACGCGCGACCGTCAGCGATCGGATCCCGTACGTGCGCGCGTGCGGCTCGTGAGTGGCGCACGAGGTGGACAAGGTGAGTCCACGACTGGTCGACGACGAGAGACGGGGAGAGACGCCGTGACAGGAAAGAGAAAAGAGAACGGCGACGCGCAGATAATGCGATGAGACACCGCGCCGACCGCTCGTCGAGTCGCCGTTCGCTGATCCTCGCGCAGCGAAACGACACGAGGCTGCTCTCGCGCGACATCCCGGACGGAGTCGCACACAGGAGGTTATAAGCGGAGTTATGCGCCTGACGTTCGGCCCGCCGACGAACGTCGATCGCGGTGAACCGCTACCGAGCTGTTTTTCCGGCCTTTCGCAGGTCCGGCGAATGGACGACGACGCGCCGACCAACGCGCTTGATGGTCCACGTTCGGAGACGCGCACCCCTTTGCGCCCTTTAACGCCTTCGACGACGTCCCGTGGCCCAGGATCCGTTTAACTGGCTGTGAAAAGTGCAACGTAACTGTATCGAGTCCAAAGAGTTGAGTAGTGCAATTAATCATTCTTCTATATCGTGTTGTTTTGCCAGATGCTACGAGGTGTCTTCAGATATAGAAATGATATTTCCTTAGGAAGCAAAATGTTAGCAACATACCAGCTATTTGCTAGCAGACTTGAACAGAATATTGTAGTAGATTGATGTCAACTATGTCTGCATTAAACTCGTGTTTTTCTAACGTCTGTCAGCAAATTGCCAGCAGAAACCAAACAGAATTCTGTTGTTCTGTAATCATTTAAATTAAATTATTATATTTAAATGGAATTATGGAATGACATGATTCTGTTTGGTTTCCATTGGAAATTTGCTGTCAGATTGTAGCAGATTGGTAAAACATAAGCTTAATATAGCTGTCAACTTGCTGTAATATTCTATTTGAATCTGCAGGCAAATTACTGAGATATACTTCCAGATAGCTAAATCTGTCGAAAACAGATTTTGCAAAGTATTCACTACAAATTTTGTCAATGTCAGCAGAAATCTAACAAAAGAGTGTAATGACAGATTGATCGTAGAAATCAAGCAGAATTTGTCATCCCGTAATTATTTAAATGATATGTTTCATTTGAATAATTACAAATTACATGACTCTGCTTTACCCAGATTTCAACAGAATATTGGAGTCAACTGCAATCATATTCAACTCATGTTTTAGCAAAGTTTACCGACATAATCTAACAGTAAACTGTCAGCAGAAATCTCATTCAAACAAAATCTCATTCCCTAGCTATGAAATATATATCATCTCATGACTATGAAATGGCCCATGTTGCTTCTGTATTCAGTCTGTTATCATATTTTATTAATAAATTTTGTTAAATTTTTCCTGATATTTTGTTTACTTAACAAAATTTATGGCAGATACTTTGTAAAACTTCAACAAATTGACTAAACTATTATCACATTTTGAATATATTCATAAAGTACTTGGAACAATTAGATACTGCTAATGTGTCGGTAATAGAACTCTATGGAAATAGAACATGTTATTACTGAATCTTGCTAATATACGTAGAACTGAGCTAACAATAATGAATTTGCTCTTTTAATCTATTGCAAATTGTTGTATAATACTATATTTTTCTGTATTACTACTACAGGTATATAGATAAATAGATAGATATACAAAACACTGGTCAAAATGGATCAAGAAACGGTCTACGGCACGCATGAGGATAGCCATGTTGTCATGTCAGAGAAAGTGCAGTCTTTGGCAGGCAGCATCTATCAAGAGTTCGAAAAGATGATAGCGAGATACGATGAGGATGTAGTGAAAGACTTGATGCCTCTGCTAGTCAATGTGTTAGAATGTTTGGATATATCATATACCGAGAATCAAGAACGTGAAGTTGAACTAGAGCTATTAAGAGAAGATAATGAACAGCTTGTCACGCAGTACGAAAGGGAGAAGCAATTGAGAAAAGCATCAGATCAGGTAATTACTTTTTTTTAAATAAGTTACCTTAAAAATTTTTGATATATGAATAATACATTTATATTGTAATATAATTTGAATATGTTTATATCAGAAACTTCTCGAACTGGAAGATGTTTCCGAGGATGAGAGAAAGGAACTTCTGTCGAAAATTGATAGCTTGGAATCTATCGTAAGAATGCTGGAACTGAAGACTAAGAATTCTCATGATCACGGTACAAATGCCATTGACGTTTCCAGTCTACCTGTTCACAGTTCTTCCCTTTACAGTAGAGTAGAAGATTTTGTTTTTTGCATTTTATGTTATTTATATTCATTCTTGTATATCACTCTCTTGTAGTGAGAGAGGAACATAGGTTTACTATGCATTTTTTATTGTCCTTTGTTCATTAATTATTTTTTCAGTCATTCTCATATTTCATATATGATTTTATTCAGGATGCTGTTATAAAGATTTATCATCTGACACTTTGTAATAGATATGTATAATCATATATTTTTTTTACGTTGTTCTAATGTTTGTTATTTAAATCATTAAACTGATTTCTTGCTTGTGTTAAATATCATATGTTTACTACCCGAACATGTGAAGCTTGTTCTATAATGTCTAGTCCATGTCCAAAATTGCTTCGTATATACAGATTACGTTTACCATTAATAAACATTTATATATTTTTTTAGTTGGTCGGCTCGAGGAGAAGGAAGCTGAATTGAAACGCGAGTATTCCCGACTGCACGATAGATATACGGAATTATTCAAGACCCATGTCGATTATATGGAGAGGACCAAAATGTTGGTTGGTAGTACAGAAAGATTAGAGAGTGTATCTACCAGCCGTGCACCATCGCGGTTACCTTCCCTTGGACTTGCTCATATGTCACGTAGTTCCGGGCCGCTTAGTTATGGCTTTCAGAGTTTGGAGGCTAGTATAAATGCCGAAGATGTTCAAGAGGATATTGTACCAAATGTCGTTAACTTGAGAACCGAAATGTTGGATAGTAGCAGCGAGGCTGCTATCGAAACATCCGACAAAAGCCAATTAACTGATCAACCAGTACAAGAGAATAAGACTACAGCTATATCTAGACGTACGTTGCATATTTAATAATAAATCTTGTAAATTCCTATTTGAAATATGAGATTTTAAGTTAGGAATATATTTTTACAGACGAAAGTCCAGAAACGGAAGTCCCGCCAACTTTAATAACGCCAACGACGCCGACCGCAAATATAGAGAAGTTAGCGACTACGCCAAGTGGTAGAAGTAGGACTGAAAGAGAACAACGAAGTGGTAATACGTTGTATCAAGAATTAAGTTTTCAAGATGCTGATGCGCTGGGCGAAATGGACGAGGGCGCAGATATTACCGGTAATATATTTACGGGAATATGTTAAAGCTTGATTTTTCTTTGGAAAACTAAATTGGTATATTTATATTTTTAGGAAGTTTGGTACATCCTGGAGAATATGCTTCGTCAGGTATGTTTGATATAAATTCACAATTTTTGCGATATGTACATATATTCATTCATGTCATATTCGTTCATATTTTCATCTATCTTTTGAATTAACAATTTTTTTAACTTATATTATCTTTGTATTGTATTTCATTGTTTGTCATCCTATGCTGGCTCGCGTCGTATTTCCAACATGCGATGCATGACACTAACTTACCATCAAATGCAGTCAATGACAACTTCTTCGGTAAGATATATGCTATTAATAATATCTTTTCGTATGATATACACAATGTGTATATATATTTTTAAAATAATTAACATCAGATCTATTAATGGTACAGTCATTCTTGACATGCTTTCCATATAACATTATTTATGAATAAAAATCAGAACTTCTAATTACAATAGACACAGTACTTCTTATTTCTCTTAATTAACTGCTATGCATGTAACATAGTAAAAAAATAGAGATTAAATATCAAATTTATTAATCTTAATATAAATCTTAACAAACGATATTCAAGTATAATGTATTTTGGTTTATAGAAGAAAAGTTGTATAACTATCTTGTTATATTTTAATCTATTTTTTTACAGGCATGGGGAAAGAAGTAGAAAACCTTATTATGGAGAACAATGAATTGCTAGCTACAAAGTAAGTTTTTCATTTTATTAATAAAGTACAAGAAGATCGGGAAAGTTATTTTCTAAAAATAACTATAATTACAGTTTATTTCTCAATCCTGAAAAAGTAATATCTTTATTATGTACTATAGTCTAACATTATATATTTTCTTATAGAAATGCACTTAACGTTGTCAAGGATGATCTAATTGTTAAAGTGGATGAATTAACGAGGTAGATCATTACTAAATTCTTTTTTATTACAGCACCGATATAACTTTTAGATATTATTAGAAACTCTAACATTCTAGTGAGCAAGAAATATTACGAGAAGAGGTTCGAGGTTTACAGCAGGCGCGTGAGCGATTGCGGCAACGAATTGCCGCCTTAGAGGAAGAATTGAAGAAGGTTAAGGAAGAAGCAGAAGCGGCAGCTAAAGCGACGAAGAGCGATGACGAAGAGGATGTACCTCTGTCTCAAAGGAAGCGATTTACACGCGTGGAGATGGCAAGAGTGCTCATGGAACGAAATCAATATAAGGAACGGTTTATGGAACTCCAAGAGGCTGTCAGGTGGACAGAAATGATTAGAGCCAGCAAGACCGATCCTTCCAGCATCTCGGGTGGGAAAGGTTCAGTGTGGAAGTTGTATGTATCAACACATATCCATCAAACGAAAACAAAGAGGAAATTAACTGGAAGAGGATTAATCTGTTCGTTTTTGTTTCAGTTTTAGCAACCTTTTCACAGGCCCGGCGGATCGAGGGACGTTAGTGCGTTCCACACACACATTACCGCACGTGCGGTACAGTGCACCGGCGAATCAAGTCGTCCCTGCACCACCCCTGGACGCCATGCGTAGACGTACGTTGAAAAGTCGTCAAGACTTTCTCGACCAAGGAGACACCATGTGAGAAATCAATCAAATTTTACTACATGCACGTAGATATGTTACGTCGACTTGACACATCGAATCCCGCCTAATTTTAATTTATTAGTTAGATCTTATTTTCATTTTCTTTGTCATTTTATACTTTCTTTCTATCTGATCATTATTTAACAAGCCTGAGTTCATTTTGTTCCAAGGAGAATATTTCTCGCGAATACATAGGTAATGTTATATACAGGCTGCAATTCAACGCGCAAGTGTAATCTTCTTTATTATCAAAATCATAACGATGAACAGGAATGAGGTAATGTTATTTTATTCACGTGGGGCTGAATTACAGAAAAGAAATTTAGTATGACTTTCTCAATTCATCATCTTTGCAGAATCTTCTTTGGTCAGTTGGGATCCATAATCTTTTGTCACGATTCACGATATTAGTCTCAATTGCGCTAAAAGACGTGAGTCTTTTCTGAATAATTTTAGCCTGTTTCCTACCGAGTTTGGGAGCATTGATGTATATGTATTAACAAGTTTTCGCTTTATTCTGTAATCTTTTTGGGTTTTCGAAAAGTCTATCTAAAGATGAAACTTTTATTGGATCTGAATATATATTATCAAAATGATAAGTAATGTATAGTTTTATAACATAACAAGATTATTCTTCTTTCCTTTTTTTATTTTAATAACTATATTTGAATCCTATTTTTAAATTCCTTTATCAAACCACCCATTAATCAAGTTTTACTAGGAAGTTTTAGCCTGGTTTGTATATTATGATGATGTATATATTGCTCATAAAAGTGCAAAAATTGCACTAATTAAACCATTAGATAGATCAATTTTTCACAGTAATATGTTCGAACAAAAAGATATACATAATTTTGTAAATACGAATTTGTACAATTTCTGGAAAAAATAATAATATGCGATCATTATTGATTGAAATAAATAAATGAAGTTTTGATTACGTTATAAACTTGGCCTTTATTTCACTCTTGTTACTGCGCTTTTGGTCTTTTTGTTGTTGTTCGGGTTTCGTCCTTGCCTCTCCCTCGTGGCGTTGTCAAGAGATACCTGGTTTTTCTGGCTTCGGGTGGGGTGCTTATTGGTCAGCAGGTAAATCTGTTCCGCTCTACTTCTAACTTTCCGCTTCAACATCAGATTCTAAGAAGTATAATAGAGAGCCTATATAGATATATCCGTATCTAACATATCCTCTATATCAATAAATTTACAAGAATGAAACTATTGTCGACTGTGAGAATCAGTGGAGATGGAACCAAAATGGTCAAAGGATGTGTATGGTGAAATGGATGGTCAGACGGACAGTCAACAATCACAGTTTACCTTTTGTTAAATTCAGAAAAGTTGCAACGATCTTTCCCTTCTTGCTTGAAACTCGTGAGCATACGATGATTAACATGTCACTCATGTCGTCTTTGCAGATCGTCCGAAAAGCTTGTAGCAAGACGCGCAAGCGAGCGAAGAGAACAGTATCGTCAAGTCCGAGCGCACGTTAAAAAGGAGGATGGCCGTTTGCAAGCTTACGGGTGGAGTTTACCGGGAAAGCCGAGCGCTCCCGTCAGACAACCTCCTGTCCCAGTTCCAGTGTATTGTCGACCCCTGCAAGAAACTGAGCCAGGCATGAAGGTACATGTTACATTCTCCTGTTTCTTGAGGAAGAGAAATGAGGATGAGTGAATGTCACCATCATTTTTATTAGATTTGGTGCGGTGCCGGTGTAAATCTGAGCAGCGGTAAGACGCGTGATGGCGGATGCATGGTCGGCGGAAGTGTATTCTACGCGGCCGAGGCCCAGGAAACAAGCAACGTAAAGACGGAGGCTGAAGATGCTGTCGAGCATTTGGACAAGGAGCTTCAAGAGAGCGAAAACCGACGGCTAGAAGCAGAACGATGGGAGCAACAGCTTAGCTCGCTCGTTTGGATTTGCACCTCAACCCAGAAGATGTCCAAGGTCACAGTAATAGATGCAAATAATCCGGCAGACGTTCTGGAGGTGTTCAACGTTTGTCAAGGACACTTGCTCTGCATCGCGAGTGTACCTGGTGCCAAAGAAAGCGATTACGCACAATTCTCTAATGAGAACTCGATCCGCAATTCGAACGGCGCGATAAACGATAGCGAGAACAACAACGGTGCCTGCGAGGATGTTACAAACGGAAATGAGAACACCGAGCAAAACGGCCAGAAGAATCATCAGGATACTGAAACTGCCGTCGATAAAAATAAAAGTGAATCTGATAATCAATCAGAGGATCAGGCAAATGAGAATACTGAAAAATCTGCTGAAACAGATCAGAACTCCACGAACGAACCGCAAAGTCTAGAAAGTATAGATAGTGAAACCGCAAACTTAGGAAAGGTAAACTTCGTACGGTGCAACGCTGAAGTATCTTTGAGATCGAATGATAAAGATACCATGAACGAGGAGGCGAAGGAGGAAGTCGTGGAAGAGACTCCCATCGAAAAAATGTCGTCCATACAACCGACCATGTGGCTCGGAGCTCAAAACGGTGCAATTTTCGTTCATTCAGCCGTCGCTAAATGGTCGATGTGCTTACACTCTGTGAAGCTCAGAGATGCAGCATTAGCTATTGTGTATGTAGCTTTTTTTGGATTGTAAAGACCATAGCGAGGATTTGGTGCTGTGGTCCTAATTAGAAAATTTTATTGATAAAAGATTAATGAAATCTTTCTTCTCATTAGACATGTGCAAGGCCGAGTTTTGGTCGCTTTAGCAGATGGAACTGTAACGATATTCCGCAGAGGCATAGATGGACAATGGGATTTGTCTCAATACCATGTTATTACACTTGGTAGCCCTCAACACTCTATTAGATGCATGACTGCAGTCAGCGGAAAAACAGTATGGTGTGGCTATAGAAACAAGATTCACGTGATCGATCCTATTTCGATGACGCTTGAGGTATAGAATTAGAATAATATTTAAAAAGATGTAGTATCTTAGTATTACAAAAATAAAGATTAAGTTTAATAAATTGATAAAACTAAAATTCCTATTTTATAGTGTACAGTGGACGCACATCCTCGAAGAGAATCTCAAGTGCGGCAGTTAGCGTGGCTAGGTGATGGTGTGTGGGTCAGCATCAGGCTCGATTCGACGTTAAGACTCTATCACGCTCATACCTATCAACATCTCCAAGACGTTGATATAGAGCCGTACGTCAGTAAAATGCTCGGTACAGGAAAACTTGGATTCTCCTTCGTACGCATCACCGCTCTACTTATTTCCTCAAATAGGCTGTGGATTGGTACTGGTAACGGAGTGATCATCTCAGTACCATTATCGGAAAGTAAGTGGAGAATTAGCATGACATTCTCTTAATGACACTCGCTAACTCTCTAACATTTGGGTGCTTTAGGTGCGGGTGGTTCAATGGCGGTAGCCAGAGCGCAGACAGGTAACAACAAAGGCGATGCACCAGGAGTCGGCGTTAGAATCTTCGCGTCAGAACGAGGCGTTACACCAGGAAGTTTCGTACCTTATTGCAGCATGGCTCATGCGCAGCTCAGTTTTCACGGACACAGAGATGCTGTAAAGATGTTTGTCGCTGTACCTGGTGAGTTTCGCGATGATCGGTATTATTCACACATGTTGATTATTAATTTTTAATGAGATTTTTTCTTAAAAGTTTAATAACTTTAACAATATAAAGACTAAAATGTAAGGGGAAGTAGGAGTCAGCGCGATAATCGGTGCGCAAGTATATAATAACTTTAAATCAAATTATTTCTAGGTCATGGTGGTCAGAGCGCGGTGACGGACGGAACGCAACCTGCGATGCTTGTTCTCTCTGGTGGTGAGGGTTACATCGATTTCAGAGTGGGTAAGTAAATTTTTGTAATGACTGCAAGGTATGTTGTCTTTATATAAATCCTAAATAAACTCTGAAAAAGTGCGAACTTATTATGAAAAATAAAATAACTTTTATTATTTTTTGTTATATGAAAATTTTATTAAAGATTTATGATATAAATTTGAGTTTAACAAGTTATTGCAATTTTAGCAGATGAAGCTGAAGACGAGAGTGATGTGGCAACACACCTAATTGTGTGGCAGATGGTCAGGTATGCCCCCAGAGAGAAGCAAGAAGTGTGCCGATTTCTTTATCCCGATTTAAATGAGCATTTCTCTGTCCTGACAAATATCACTATTAATCGGTGCATCCTTCACTAACAGAACAATTTCGCACTCTTGCACGGTAGAACAAAGTTCGACTAACAACATTATTTCTATAATCTTTGTGCGTATTAAATACATATGACTGTGGGGTATCTCAGATTTCTACAGATTGCTTTGCATATTTACACATGTGCAAATATCAAAGTTCAAGAACAAGTATACGAAAAAAGGATTTAATATTCTCAAAAACGATAATATATCATTTATTTTATTCTCTGGGGGTTGGGCTTTCCCATCTATCATGCATTATCTTGTAGAAAACGCGACTTATGCCTGTTTTCTTTCATTTAAGTATACCTATTTGTTACTAATAACATTTGTATTTTAATTATCTTCTAGGTGATGGAGAGGAGACGGAGGAAAGCATAGATCGATCAAATACTGCAGTCAGCAATGAAGAGCATGGTGAACAGAGTCACCTGATTGTGTGGCAAGTGCAATGTCCCTTACCGATGCCAGTCAACGGCTAGCCTATGGACGGGATGGATAAGCGTGATTTGCTATATGATTTAGCTTGCAACGCGGCATTACATGTGTCGTCGATGGATCATCGAATTATGGATTGTGAATCATTGATATTCGAGCGAACGATTCTCATCGCTGCAAACTAATGTGTGCTACCTTAGATATATTAATATAACGATCGTAGCAGAGTACATTAATAATTCCCAAAAGTAATTATCACGATTTTTCATATTAGCAGAACGAAGACGATATTATATCAAATCATGAGTTTTTCTGAATCATCATGGATCAGTTATCATGATATTCTTCCATAGCGGAGGCAAATTCATCGTGTATGACATTTCTTGCATGTATGCGGGCAAAATTTTCAGGGGGTTTATGAATTTTGTCGATGCAACTGGAATCATTAGGTCTGTTCTTTGTCGTTACACTGGACTTCACTAAAACTTTTTTGCTTTTTCGCCAAATTTAAATATATGTCTATTTCATTTTAAGTAAAACAAGTATACACTAGTTCAGTTACAAAGAACAGATCTATTTTAACTTCGATGCTAAATCATCTCTCGCTTCTCGTTGAGCCGCGCATTCCTTAACTTAAGCCTGCGTACATAGGATCAAATTGTTAAATGACATGTGCCGGAAAGTTTCTCATGACTAGTGTTCATTTTAGAATATCACATATTATGAATGGCGGTGAGGTATCGTTATTTCAACTAACCATTGTGATAATGCGACGATATTATAACGCGAGACGGGATAAGTTTCGAAGCTGCCGTTGCCACATTGCTACAATAAAACATTTGTTCGAAGTACTTCGCGTTATGTATCTGTCGCGAGAATATTTCCCAGTCGCCGTTAACACGCAATACGCAGAGTATGCAGTAAGGTGCGTGCAAACTCAGGCAGATTCTTAGGCGTAACGTAATATTAATTTTTTGTCGGAGAGTATATTATTTTCCAGACCTAAAATTGATTTTATTCGCGTACATCGTGTCGAGCATAACGATAAAATAATAGTAATAATAACAATAATGATATATATATATATATATATATATATATATATATATAATTATATAATATATATTCCTCTCTTCTGTCCCCTTGATCAAGCATCGTTAGATCGTGCTCAGCGAAACGTAGCGGTTTACACAATTATTAGGAGAAACTCGCCAATGATGTAAATAATAAGATGTTTATAGCGTCGTTATATAGATCCGTTATTTAATTTATTTCGCGGGCGAGTAGAATTATTTTACAAATACATAAGACCTGTATCCTCTATTCTCAAATTTAGCTCCATCTTTAGTACGCTACCAAAGAAGTGGAACGGTGATCTGATCATGTTATTTGTATTATTTACAACGAGAATTATGCCTCGAAAAGGAATATTTGCTCCTTTTTTCCTTTTAGCTCTTGGCCAATTAATATTTGGACTGATAAAATTTTGTAAATTCCCAATGAAGCGGTGCGATTTAGACGGCAATTTTTAGACACGTGCGATAAGAGGGCTGCGCATTATCGCGCGAGCCGGCTTTTAATGTCGAGCTCGGAATTGTACCTGGCTCAGGTGGCGTTGTAACGGCATTAATAAACAAAGTTACGGAACTAAATCACTTGCTAACTCCCTCCGTAGCTTCACTGGAGTTAATGCATGAAAACACTATCCTGACTTTTTTAAATTGAAAAAAAAGTTTATATAATTAGCTGTGCTATAATTGATATGTTAACTTATTTCTGTGATGTAATAAGATTTGTAAGAAGTGTTATTACATCATGCTTATTTCTTTTTTTTAACTGTATGCTTAATTTTATGTGATTAAAATGTTTTTACTAATTTTAGGAGATTAAAATTTATTTATATGCATGTGTGTATATTAACTTTTCCATGCATTCGTTGATTGATTTGTTATGTTTCCTTGAACTATTTTTAATCACAGAGCGATTAGCGAAGTTTCACAAGTGGTATGAAATTCTATTTTTACTAAACAAAATGCAATCTAGTAACTGTCAAGTTGCTCGCTTGGATTTGCTTAAAATTACTTGCGGGTAATTTTTAGTAATACTCTAAACAAATAGTGATAAGTACATGGTATAATTGTATATTTTATATAAGATACATCTTATTATCGTGTTATATCCATCATACGTATTATAAGTACAAATTATTTGCGTATTATTTAACCTGTAATTAGAATGCTTATATAATTTCTCTGTTTGCTTAATTTTCAATATTTCTTTGGCTTTATTTTGTAGCTTTTTAATTGTCATTATTACAATAAGCGCAATTATTCACCATGAAATTCGATTATATAGCATATACACATTTCAAAAAATATCGTACTGTAAAATTATCGTCCAAAATATACGCAAGTGTTACACAATAATGCAGCTTGCAACATACAAAATATTCGTCTGCGATATAATGTTGCAATAAATAATTACTTTATTATTTAGAAAAGGTTTATAATAAAAGCAGATAAAGAGCAAAATAATTTGAATGTAATAAAACATAATATTTATCTTTTGTATATTTGCCTTCTTCAAATATGCAAGTACAAGGTCCATTCGTCTTTGAACAAAAAAAAAGATAATTTTTGAAAATAAAATAAATATTATCATATTAATGTAATAATATAAACTTGAGATATAAAATAGACTCGGCAGGTTGCAGATTTTATACATATAAAGAACAAATAAAACGTCAACAATGATGGCATAAATGAGATTGACAAGATTTATCATTTTAGATCATTTTTCCCTTGGGAAAAATCTATTTCTCAATCTTCACTGCAAAATCCGGTTAATAAACCGATTAATTCAACACCTTTGGAATTTAAAAAATTTTTTAATTATATAATTCGTTGTTCCTGATTTAGTCTTTTTTTCTGTCTATTAAACAACAAAACAATTCTTTCTATGTTAACAAAATATATATATATAATAAAGATATATTATTTAGGGCCGGTTGTTTCATCTTCAGATAAATTATGTGGTCATTTATCTATTGGATAAACAAAAGAATAAAAGAATAAAAGCATAAGAGAGTAAGACAGTGAGCTGAAGTTTATCGAAAGATGGAACAACCCAGTCTAAAAAAGTTAATTTAATCCTTGATTAAATTAGTCGATTATAAATAGTTGGCCAAAATCACCCTTAAATGAAAATTTTATTTAAAATTAGACTATATGTGTGTGTGTAATTATTCTATTTAATATGATTAATTAGAAATGTGCGGAGATCGAGCTAAAGTATGTCAAGAGCGCGTTCGAATTCGGGCTCTTTTTCGAATAATACCGCTTCTCTTCCACCGATGTGAAGTTGCTGCGAGTCGCGCCAGCTCTCCCACCCATTCATCGTTCTCGTTCCCCGCGTCCGGCCCGGACATGATAAAAGCTTGTCATCGTCGTCGTTGTCCAGTCGCCACAAAATACCGGGAGACTTATTTATACTTGTAAACCACATCGTGCTCAACTCCACGTTTTACATATCTTCGATTAAACGGTTTTACAGTAGCAGCAAGAAATCGACTGGCAAAATGGCCTGTCCAGTGAGAGATCCCGCTTCGGAGCAGCTGAACGATTACAAGAAGAAACTCAAGGTAAGATCCTAAGATCTCATTATTTCATTTGCGCGAATGCTGCACAACCACGTAGTCAGACTGATATTTTATGTGTCGTACAAATAAACTTCAGCGTGTTGATTGGTTCTAGAAAGAAACATCCGAGAACCTCTCTGTCCTGCAACCAATCAACAGGTCTGAATACGGCACATGAAATATCAGCTTCGTCTTGTCACGCAAGATTAATCGCAGTTATTGCTTCAAAGATTAAAACCAGCTCCACTATTTCAGACTTTAATTTTTTTTAATGTCACTTTGTGTGCATGCACGAGGTAGTCGTTGATTACCGAAGTGAGAATGATTTAGCTATTTTTCAATGGATGCAATAATATTTGTTCGCGAGAGATATCATTTTTAATGTAAAAAAGGATATACTGTTGCGCAGTCGTAACGAATTAATTACTGCAAATGTCTACAATTGCGCCGTTCGATATGCGCATAACATTATTAGAAAATAGATCTGATGACATAAAATGAACATATTTGGAAAATATTACATTTACTTGTATTTTTTTTTTTTTTATTGAAATTTATGCTATTCCTTTTTATTTTATTTTTTCCATGATGCAAAAGAAATAAAACGAAAACAAAATATTACAAAATGTACTTCATTGAAATGTACTTCTTGATTTAACAGTATTTTCTACATTTTACTGTTGCACAGCTGTTTAAATATTCACTAAGGAAGAAACGAGTGTTTTCAAAATTCAATGCGTTCTGTATTCAACAGGTTATCCTATACATTCACTTGGTTAAGTAATTACAGTTCATGAAATTGAAAATAAAATTCTTAACTTCACTTTTATCATTTTGACTCATATCTCTTACATAAGCAAAATATGTTTTGCCAGATAAAATACACGTACGTACATAACACACTCGCATATTGTACATCTTAAGTAAAAAAGAATGCAAAGGTCCAAAAATTTTGTACTATTATCCGATATAGTAATTTTATACTGTACGATATAGTAATACACAAGACCCTTGTCACTTTATTATTTAAATTCTCATCGAGATCAATGCTGTTCTTTGTATACGAATTAATTCTTCGAAGAATTTTAAATTCCACAAAGTTAAATATCTAATTATAACGAATGTTGATTCGTATGATATATAATCGTTACTACTGATAAAAGGTAGATGAAAATTTACGACATTTACGTTATCGATCATATTAAAATATTTACAATAAATACAAGGTGACCATTAGGATTGTGTTGAAAGTAAACCATTATATCGTGTTCCTTTTTTCGTTTTGATGATCGTTTTTATGGTTAAGATCGAGTATTTGAGACTCATTAATTTCATTTGAGACGTACAAGTCAGTTTATGAATGTTAGCATAAACATAGTAATTATAGAAGGAAAGATGTTTTTCATTAAGTGTTTTCTACCTTAGAGGCAAAAATTATATAAAAGCATATCGTAGATTCCGTAATAAATATGGATTTGAAGAAATTTTAAGCAAAAAAGTACATTCACTTACAAGGAAAACCTCGAAATGTTTAAATGATCACCCTCTAGCAATCTTCTTTAAAGTTTTTTTTATTTTAACAAGGAATTAATTCGGCCAAATAGTCTAGGAGAAACAATTATATCTTAAAATCATTAAAAACTTATTTTTTAATTAATCGTACTAAAAATCATTATATATATCGCTAGGTTTTGCTTTTATATATCATATACAAAGTATTCAAGTATAGAATTATCAACGTAATAAAGTTGTGAAAAACAACTTTATTACGTTGATATATGTATATGTACATAGAATTATTAACGTAATAAATTTGTTTTTCACAATTTTATTACGTTGATAATTCTAAGTACACTCGCCGATTAAAAGGTTGCAACAGATTTTTTTCTATGGTTTTCGAAATGCAGCCTAATTACCGAGCGATTGGTTTTTACTTATACGAATCCAAGTAAGAACCAATCGTTCGGTGAGCAGATTGCATTTCGAAACCCATTAAAAAAAGAGTGTGCAACCTCTTAGTCGGTGAGTGTACATATACATACTGATCAATGATTATCCATTGTCAGCTCGTAAAAAGTAAATGTGCATGGTAATAATGATATACAGAACTAAGCGTTCAAAGTTCTATCAAGATGCACGACCACCGATATGCACTTATTATTAGTAACTTCTACAAATATTATTTATTTACTTTAATAACTTTCTAATAATTATATTAAGATGTAAACGTTCATAATCTAACACACATACATTCGCATTATTATTACAATATTTTTATGATACAAGGTGCTTATCGTATAAAGATTTACAATACACCATCTGTTTTTCATCGATGAACTCTTTGAACTGGTGCACTCGGTGCAATAAATTGAAATGAAATAAATATATATTTGTTACTTCAACTTATATTTGAGGCATTTGCAGCTGT